TAATAATGATTTTAAGTCAATATAGTATTTAAAGAAGCCTTACAAACATTAACATCACTAAAAATCGTTAATAGGATGAAATTGGTTTACAAAACTCTTCGTCATATAATGTCAACTTTTCACGATATTTTTTTATTTAATCAATTGAACATTATCAATCAATATATTAATTAATTTTGTATTGATTTAAAATTCTCTCAAGCACAATAGATCAAAGCTCAATTTCTAATTTGTGGAAAGTAGTTTAACCAGTAATTAGGTTCATTATCTCGATAAAAAAAAAGGCTTAACCGATCTTTTTTGTCATAGACTTATTCTGTTTGGCTAATTAGCAAAATTACAATAAGGATTACTTTAATTAATCATAGTACATATGCACGATCTCAGTAGCTAGCTAATCACATTGAGAGCACCATTAATCTTCATTATTTATTTTTTAATTGATCTAAGTATTTAATATGGGCTGTTTAACTCTTATTTAGCTTCTTATTCACATTAATCTGTATAATTATCATCTGCCAAGAACATTTCTAATTTACAGATTAGTATGACCAGATCTGTATAGTATAGGGTGTGAAATACCCCTATATTTAATATGTATTCCGGCGATATGTATTATTAGGGTTAGCATTAAAAAATTATAGTGGATTGGTATGTTACGTTTTTTAAAGAGGTATTTTATACTCTAAACTATATACATCTAAAATCTTGTAAATTTCTTGTTTGTTTAAATTATAGTGTCTCATATCAATATAATTTAGTTGTATACACGATATTTATTTTATATGAATTCAAAATATTATATAACTACTCTATATTGTAGTTGTTCAATATTTTCTAAATTAAGCCTATATTTATCCGTTCCTGGTTTAGCGCGACAATGTCGCGCAGCTACTTATTTTAAAACATACCTGTTATCAATATTGTAGAATTTATAGATCAAAAAAAGAAATCATTAACAATTTATATGATCCTCCATCATGACATTCAAAATGAAGATTATTATGCTTATTTTTCACTGTAGGGTAGTTTTTCCATATAAAAAAAGAACTTAATTGCAATAAAAAAAATTGATACTGGTAAAATTTAAAAATTCGCCATTGAATGGCATGATTCGAATGCCACTCAGCCTACCATTCGAACTTCTATTCAATACAATCATATAACTTCGCGGACATGCATGTCCGCGAAGTCATGTGATTGTGTTGAATGGAAGTTCGAATGGTAGGCTGAGTGGCATTCGAATCATGCCATTCAACATGGCAAATTTTTAAATTTTACCAGTGTAAATGTCTAAATGCTTGACAAAATATATATTACTGTCGCTATAACTATATATCTAAATATAGATACAACAAATTGTTTCATCACATACATTTTTCTTTTCTACAAAATAATAAAATATCGAACTTGTGAGAAGCAGTGCGATAGAAGAGTGTGTTGAGTAAAGGTGTGGGGGTGTGAAGGGTACCATTAGTGTAATGAGGATAAAAGTTAAATATGGTAAAAATTTTATGCTTGAGTTAAAAAATAAATGCATTTGCATTTTTTGCTTTAATTATTGTTATTTAGTCAAGATTTTGTAGACTCTTAAAATGCCGTATAACTATATACTTGGTGAAATTTACATACTGTATCATCTCATTCCTGTTTTGTATTAGCCTTATGAAGAAGGTTTTATCGTAATTAAATTCAAGTTTGTAACTATATCTTTCAAACTTGATTATTCAGGTTTTATAGATAATTGGGTTTGACAATCAATTCTCTTTATTGATCGATCATTATAACAAGTTTTTTTTTTAATAAAAATCGCTTATTTATAATTAGTTAAACACTAATAATAACGATTAATGAAAAGATCTATATCGATATGTTTTGTGGCTTAGTATGAAAGAATCGTTATAAATATGAATATAATATGACTTGCCATTATTGTTTAATTAATCGACAGGTGTGTATAAAAATTATTTATTGATTTATGCATTTTTTTTCATCAATTTGCTAACATCGATTTATTCTTTGGTTGCACTGATTTTTTCAGAAGGTATTCAAGTTTTACTAAAAATCGTGCCAACACTTTATTATACTATATATTGATTAAAAAGTATTTATGTTATGATATAAATTTGCATTATTTGGGATATATATAATAAAAAAATTATCTAATTAACTAAATAGGCCAGAATAACAAAGACATCCCGTGAAATAGCAATCACTAATGAGTTATTTTTCATCTACCAAAGCAAACTAGAAGAAATAATAGAACATGTATAAGAATTTTGTACGTACTAGAATCTTTCTAGCACTAGAAGCTCTTATACTAATATATTATTCTTCTAGCGCATTTTGGTATTTAATTTTTTGCCAGGTATATACTAGTACAATTATCATTATATATAGTCTTTACTCTTTTTATGCTTATATTTTTTTATTGGCTGTAATAATTTTATACTATTGAAACTTACTTATAATGGCATTGTTTGTAATAGCATTAAAGATAGTCAAGTTGTGTAGCAGTTTCTTTTTTTAATAATACACACATGGATAGATAATTGTTTCAATACAGGTTTGATATTAAATAATCTTAGTTTGTTTTACTTACTGTCGCGTAGTATATGAAGAGTCTTTATACCTAGTAAAAGGTATACAAATAGAAGATGAAATGTATAGTGGAATAGAGAATAAAAAGGTAAAACGAAAGAATGATTAAATGACTCACGTGATCATGTGATCGATCGGAGTCGTGAAGGGAATTATGAAATCGGGGCATAATCAAGATCAGGTACAATAGGTACCGTGATCGTCAAATGCATGAATATGACGATTAGTTGGGGAACAATTAAAAGTTTAATTAATTAAAATAAAGAAATAGTTAAAGTGTAATACAAATTATGTAATTAATTGAATCGCATAAATAACAAATCGTAAATAAAGAAATTCTTCAGTCTCTTTGACTAAAAGAACAATATAAGTGTTGTTCTAAAGTAAATACTTACACTACTCGAGGTTCGGTGTGTGTGTATTGTGTGACTCAAGTGCCAAGCGAGACTTAAATTATATAAAAGCCATCTAAATCAGATTACAGTCACTATGGTAATTGTTTCACTCTTTGACACTTACGCTCATTTAATGAATTTAACATTTTAAATTTGTATGGCTATTTCTTTTTTTAATAATAGTAATATTGTGCATATGATAATTGTTTCATTAAAATTACAGTATTAATACAGGTTTGATATTAAATAATCTTAGTTTATTTTACTTACACTCATTTAATGAATTTAACATTTCAAATTTATGTGGCTGCTTCTCTTTTAATAATATTGTGTAAATGAATAAATGTTTCATTAAAATTATTAATGCGGGTTTGATATTAAATAATCTTAGTTTATTTTACTTATGCTCAATTAATGGATTTAATATTTTAAATTCTTATAAATTCTTCACTCTGCATTTATTTGGATTTTTTTAAAAGAATTTTAGAAAACATTTTCTTTTTTTATATTATTAAATAAAAAAATGAACGAATCTAATTTTGAAGAAAATGAAAATTATCAAGAAAATTTTCAAAGTGAAAATTCTCAAAGTAGAAATTTTCAAAGTAGAAACTTCCAAAGCAAGAATTCTTTAAATGAAAATTCTCAAGAATCTACTTCAAAAAAATCGGCTGGACGACCACTTGCAGGTGTTTGGCATTTTTTTGACAAAGGTGTTTCTGTAAAAGATCACTGTTCAAGAAAGTGCAAAGTATGTGGAACTTTTTGGGCACGTGCAAAACCTGTAGATTTAGAAGAACATTTAGCTTTAGATTGTTCGAATCAAAATAGAGATGTTATAGATTTTTATGCTCAAGTTGTTGCTAATCGACAAAGTCATAGCCAAGCAGTATCTCAAGAAACTCTACCTGGTTCTAATTTGAACAAAAGAAAACGTACACTTACAAATAGTCAAACATCATTATCTGAATTTATAGAAAGTACTAAATTAACTTCACAACGTGAAGATAATATTAATTCAGCTTTAATAAAAGCATTTATAGTATGTAATATACCTTTTCATATTATCAGCAATCCATATTTTATTGATGCACTTCGAGAATTACGACCTGGTTATTAACCTCCATCAAGACAACTATTTGCTAGACGATTATTAAATGCAGAAATAATCAAAATTAATCAAAGTATTATGGCTGTTTTAGAAAAAGCTAATAATTTAACTCTTGGTATGTTTATAAAATAAGATATTTAAGTTAATAGAATTGTTAATATATATTAATTAACTATATAAATTTTTAATATAGGCTTAGATGGATGAACAGATCCGAATAAAAAATCGTTGTGGAATTTTGTAATTCATACTTCTAGTGGACGAGAATATCTTTGGAAAATACTTGATTTATCTAACCAATGTCATACTGGTGAAACTTTATGAAATTGTATTCAACAAATTTTTGTTGAACTTGGAATAGATAAATTTGGAGCAATAGTTACTGATGGGGGCTCTAACTGTGCACTTGCACGACAATTAATTACTGATTAGTACCCACATATTTTAAACTTACGATGTGTTATGCATTGTATGAATTTAATTTCTAGTGATATTTTAAAACACAATTTCGCAAAAAAGATTCTTTATCAATGTTTCGCAATTGTAAATTTTTTCAATTCATCACATCAATTACATTCTTTGATAATAAATAAAAATGTATATGGCGGTGGATTAAAAAATTATACAAAAACTCATTGGACTAGTGCATACGAATGCTTATATTCAGTATATCGTCATAAAACAAGTTTAGAAGAAGTAAGTATACAGTATTTATATTTTAAATTAATTATTTAATATATTGTTATGTATAAATAATTATTAATAAATATATTTAAAGATTTTAGATCAAAATTCACATTTGTTTAATAACAAAACAGGCAAAATTATCAAAACATATTTGAAGACTCGCGGATTTTTTGATAATGTTTTAGATGTTTCTACAGTTTTAAAGCCAATTAAAGATACTATTACGTGTCTTGAAAGCAAAACAGCCAATTTAGCTGATTGCTATTTGGGTTATCTTAAACTAGCTATCGCTATTAAAAATATTTTACAAAATCATCATTTAATGTTTTATCAAAAATATGTTTCAATTTTTAATGAAAGGTTTTATATGTTTGATTATAACGAATATTTATTAGCATATTATTTGCATCCTCAGTATCGTGGTATGTATTTAATTTAATATTTATTTAATTTACTTACTTTAAAAATTAATTTTTTTTGAAAAAAATTGTAGGTGCTGGAATTAAGCAATCACAATTTGCTCGTATAGCTGGAATTGCAGGCCATTTATGGACTAAAATGGCAAGTTCTAGTGCAAAAAAAAGTGATCTGGAAATTTTAAAAGCACAATTACGTCAGTATACTTGTGATGAAGAGCCTTATAATGGGTCTTATGAATCAACTATTGATAGTCCAATTCGATAGTGAAAGACTACTGGAGATGGTACTAAAACAAAGCCTGGTGCTCTTTCTTCTTTAGCAATTAAATTGTTTTCAGTACGTCCTCATGCTGCAAGTTGTGAGCGTGTATGGTCACGTTGTGGATGGTATTTAGAAGATCGGCATATTAATTTAAGAACAAAAAATCTTGAATCAATGGTAAAAATAAGTTCTTATTTAATATCAAATACTAAACAAGAACTACATTATTATGGATTAGATTTAACAGAAGAAGAAATACAAACTGTTTTTCAAGATATTGAATTGTTCTCTGAGGTTAATGACGAAGATGATTTTGATGATTTTGATAATTCAACTAATTATATTGATCTGGAAATTGAACATCAAGACTTAGAACTTGAAAATTTTATAGATTTAAATAACATAGAACAAGATGTTAATAGTGAGAATATAGATGAGAATATCAATATGAATATAAATAATAATATGAATATAGATATGAAGAATTCGATATTGAAGACTTTGATGAAGACCAATTTGATGCAGAGGTTGAAGGGTTAATATATAGTACACAATAATTTTTTTAGATTATTATTAGTATACAATATTTATTTTTTAAAATAAAGATTTTAGTACTTAAGTTTATATTATTTTTTTTTTTTTTGGTATTAAGGCTTAAGTTTATATTATTATTTTTATATTACCAATTATTTAATAGAAATTACGTTTTATCAACAATTATACACTAACAAGTTTATTTTAAGGATAGTCTATTTCACTGAAACTCATTTTATCAGCAAGTTTTTTTTATAAATTATACTAACTTTGACTCTAATTCTTTGTTTATAAAATGAGTTTCGGTAAAATAAACTATTAGTGAAATAAACTTGTTGGTAAGTAATTGTTAATAAAATATAGAATTTACAAAGCGATTACTTGTTAATAAAATATATGTGTAGAATTTACAAAGCGATTACTTGTTAATAAAATATAGAATCTAAGCAATTACTAATAAGTTGATTAAATCTTGTATACTCTTTGCCAACTTCGTTTCTAGAGTATTAACTATTATTTGGGATTAGTTATTACAAATGTATTATATTTAAAATAATCTTATTTATCGTGAATATAATAATTTTAAAATGTTTTATATAAAAATAATTTAGACATTTTGACACTATTTAGACATTTCGGCACTATTTAAACATTTCAGCACTATTTAGACATTTCAGCACTATTTAGACATTTTGGCACTATTTAGACATTTCGACACTATTTAGAATTATGTCATTAATTTAGAATTTTGACATGCTAAATGTCGAAAGTCGAAATATTTCTACATAGCTTAAAACAATTTCGACTAACAACACTAGTATGGAGTGAATAGTATTACAGGTTGTAGTGTTGGTAAATGTAATCTCATTGTCTTTTTTGTATACTGCAAGAGCAGTATTAAAGAGGTATGTATATTCTTTTTGGTATGCTGGAGTGGTCCTGGGGTTATGTGTAAAGGTGGTGAAGAATCTAGTATCCTGATAAATGAACTTGAGAGCAATTGCCTCAAGTAGCTTATATTTTGTATTGTGAGTATTAACTTGTAGCTGATAAGGTCATAGATGCCTTCTGGGGTCTCGAGAGCTTTTGCAATTGCATCATATGACCAGAGATTTGTGTCACAGGGAGCATTGATAGGTGTAGTAATCTTAAGGTATACTTCTGAGACCCATTCCATGTCATCTTCCAGAGTGTCAGTGGTAAGAAATTTGAAGTTGGTTTTGGTGATTTGGCTATAGATAGGTTTTGTAGTTGTCTCTTAGTTTACTTGTATTTTAACTAGTATAGTTGCACTGTCTACTATAACCTTGGTGGCTTTGTTGGTAGTTGTGTTGAGAAGTGAAATGTTGTCCAGATTTCTGGGCCATTTGCAAGTTGAGCTAAGGTAAAATGTAGCATCTGCAGGAGTAGAGTTGGAGATAGGTGTAGTGAGCATAGGTTGTGTAATTTGCTAAATGGGTGTACTAGGTCTAGGTATGGTGATCTTGGTATTATTAGTGTTGGAGCTGTTTGAAGGATTGGTGTTAGGGGTTTGTTTGTAGGTATACTACATTAGTGTTACTAGTATCTGTGTTAGTGTTTGCATGTTCTGTAATAAGGTCTTGTGAGGAGTTGAGCTTTGTAAAAATTGCTATGTAAGCTTGCTTATTATTGCTCTTGTTTGACTCATTATCTGAGTCCAGGTCTATAATACAGTTGTACAGGATCATGGATAAGTCTGCGTTATTTTTAGCTTTTGTGTAGGGTTTCATATTGTTTTTATAGGAGTTGATCATTGTTGTAAGGTCACAATTACATGTAGATTTGGGATATTTGGTGCTAATATTTACAGTACAGGGGGGTGACAAAAATATTTCCACATCTAAGGACTTGGCTTATAACTCAAAAACTTTCTAATTAACTTAGGTCCTTGATTTGACTATAGTAATCCTTACTCCTTGAGGATTATTTTATATCATTTTTAGATCACATGCTTGCAT